ATGGGCGCAAAGCCACTCCCACAAAGGAGGCCACACCCACAGAGTAGGTTCGAACAATTTTTGAAACCCACCACTGGCACATACGTACTACATTGGGAACAGGCCACACGGCCCGTTTTGGAGTTTAGGGCCCGCATGGAGGCTCGGCGAGGGTGAAAAACGGGCCTACTGGAAGTTTGGGACGGCCGGGAACGGGTCCATTTCTGGCCTTCAGTGGGCCTCCGGAGCCTGGGGGGGGGCTGTTTTCGCCCTCCCAGAGGCTTGAGGAAAGCCTCCGGAGCTGGGGAGAGCAAAAACACCCCCCTCATCGCCATGGTGCAGAAGGCCAACTACATGGCCCTGCCCACCCAGCAACTGGGCAGAGAACCCGTTAACTGAAATTTTTGAAGCCCATGCCTGCTGGGAACCCCAGTCCTTCCTCTTTCTCTTTCTTTTCCTCCTCCTCTTCCTCCTCTCCGCAAACCCTATTCCCTTCTAGCCCTGAAGGTGTTACCTGCTATGGTAATGAAACGTCTCTAACAAAACCACCAAGCGGAGAGAGAGCATCAAGGAGCCCTCATTTCAACCCTGAGCGACAGATGTCAAAACAAGATACACACCCACCCACCCCGTGAAACCATACTTGACATGGTGTACATACCACAGACACATTCAAACTTCCCATGCTGGTAACGGAAGCAAATGTGCAGGAGGAGTCCACCATTTTGCACACCGGTATTTCTTCCACAATGCGGTAACCGGTCGATATTTTGATATCCACGAGAGCTTTGGCCCAGGCAGCCGTGCTGACCAGCCACAGGAAGGCAGCGCAGAGCGTGAAAATGTAATCCTGGAAGCCGAGAGAAGGACGTTAATCCGTTTTGTGTGTGGATCCAAGCTGCAGATTACAGAACCAAAAGAACTAGTGGAAACTCAAATCCTTTGGCCACCTAAGGAGAAGGAAGGACTCCCTGGAGAAGAGCCTCATGCTGGGAACCACGGAGGACAAAAGAAGAAGGGGACGGCAGAGAAGGAGGTGGCTGGATGGAGTCACCGAAGCAGTCGGCGTGAGCTTCAATGGACTC